ATACTACATTAATTGCAGATTACAACATTATAACCGACGTCAAAAACCTCATAATGGGTTTGACAACTTTAATAACCAACGAAAGAGTGTTTTATCTATTTTGTCAATATTTATAGATCGTAATTACTTGTAGTGAACTCAGTATAATTCGATCATATTTAAAATATGGGTTTCATCTAAATAACACAATCAACCATCTTTACAAAAAAAAAAAGAAAAAGTCGGTTTAATTTGAGATTTAACATTTTGAATGTCAAAATTTTTTATTTTTTTAATTGTAAATTTGTAAAAGAATAAAGAATTTTGATTAAATAGATGGAATTTTGAATTCACTTTTTCACGTTGTCCGCATGTTAGTCTATTACAAAAATATTGATCAAATAATCTAGAATACCTTAATTATCTAAATTATTGAATTAACTAAAATTATATGAATTGATTAAAATTTTAAAATATAGTAATGAGACCAGTTGTGTCGCAAATTCCTCGGTAGTATGCAGAATGAAGTGGTTACCAATATTAAAAGAGGAAATCATCATAAAGAGAATACTACTACTAGTAAGTAAATAGCATGTAAAGGATACATAATTATTAATGTTTTAAAATAAACATACAAACATAAGGTTAGAGTATGATATTAATACTGAGAGTTAACTAAATATAAGACTAAATACTTACCATATCAGGGTAGTATTATGAGGTTTTTTCCTGGTTTTTAAAATAAATATCACAAGAATTTTAGTTTATGATTAAGTGTGGTGGTAGGCGAGACTAAAAGAGCTATAGGTGGCTTTCAAGATGGTATATGGCAAAATGAAATAGCTTAGAAAGTCTCTTACAGTATCAGAGGGCTACAACTAGATCTCAAGATTGATTTACGGTTTTAACCATCATTAGAAAAAAGTGCAGGAGGCGAAAGAAAACTGGATGTCAACAAAATGCCTAGAAATCGAACCACTTCAAAAAAAAAATACGACACCTTTAATATTCACAAAGAAGTAAAAGAAATGACAGGTAGACACAAAATGAGACAAGCAACAATATTAAAAATTGAAAATAACGAAATAATTATGGGTACAGAAGACAAACTAAAGAGACGGAAAGTATACATAAACACTCTTTTTGATGACGATATACCTTATTCTCCACCATCCACAGATAATCGAATAAATAAAAAAGGCCCAGAAATAACCAAAGAAGAAGTGATTCGCGCAGTAAAATCTCAGAAAGATGGAAAAGCCACCGGTCCAGACAATATCAATGTCGAAATACTAAAACTAATTGCAGATAACGAAAGTAAAAGCCTAGACTTAATAACAGCACTATTTAATAAGATATACGACACAGGTAAAATACCAACAGACTGGCTAAAATCAACATTCGTAGCATTACCAAATTTATACAAGATTTATTGTAGAAGAGACAATTTTAGAGGATTCACAAAAAGAAATGTAAACAAGGTAGAAAGGCGTATAACGCCACACCTACGAAAGCGGCATCACTGCAGAAAGGCCTGTTTGATACTTCATTTCCCAGAGCATCCAAGATTAAAAACAAGTAAAGGCTTCATAACGTTATGTCTGCGATTGGGGAGGGGTCAAAGGTAACTTGGGGGTCAGAGAGGAACAGTTTCCATGAGGAGTGACCTCTTTAATCTTCGAACATGAGAACACCCTATTCCGGGAATCTCATATTTCCTGGAACTGGGATTTATTTTGTTGTGTCTGTTTTCTCACACTCTCTTTCAACTCAGATTATTCATATAGGGTCATTATGGTGTTAACGCTGAACATGTGCTAACTAACTATTCTTTAAATATTTTTCACTAATGACTTAATCCTTAGTTTCAATATTTCCTTCAATTTTAGTATTTCCCACCAACACCACATTTTTAACATACATTAATTACTATGAAATACCCCTGTGATATTTCCCTGATCGATTCAAGACTAATAAGGTTAAATAAAAACTTTGATCTATATTACTTTAATGGGGATTTTGCGTCGTGGTTTACGATATATACTGTTGTGATTTGCTCAAACTATATGTTTATAATATTGATTTTTTAACAAATTAATATGATATCTCAGGGCTCTTTTACTTGTTAAAAACAAAACGTGGCTTCAAAGTAGTTTTTGCTAGTTGCCTTTGAGGAAAACAAAGGAGAGACAATAGGAAAATAAAATTAAAGCGCAATTATGACTTGCAAAGCAAATGTTATATTAAAAAAAAAACAATCAAATATTAAAATAAAAATTTTGAATAAACAAACATAAATATACCATATACAATGATTAGAATAAAAATCTCAAACATCCATCAAATCATACATCATCAATTATCAATACAAATTAATTAAGCTTATATGCAAATCTAAAATTTCTTAATATTGGTGACTTCCGATAAACATGTATTATAATTCTCAATAAAAACCAACAACAAAAAAACGAATAAGCCTAATTTAAATAGGTGGTCGTGATTGAAAGTCTCTGTTTCTTAAAATGACGAAACTAACCTTTTGTTCCCACCGTTGATGACTTCACCTCTCTCTACTTTGATTGTGCCTTGTCCATCTTGCTCGTCCTTTCAGTTTCTCCAGAATACTCCTGCTAAACTTCTCTGCTCCAAATCTTTACTACATGAATAAACTCCTCCTCCCCAGACACAAAGGATATCTCAACTAATCAAATAGGTTCAGTATAAAACTCTACATCTATTTATTACTTACAGCATGTCAGTTATTTCTTCTGTCTGCTACCACAGTTGGAACTCTTTTCACCAAACATAAATACAACTTTTCACAATCTAGACTTAAAAAAAAATGAAAAACTTGTAAAAATGTAAAATTTTCTCGATATGTTGCAAATATGAAAAAATTTTCCGCTCACACAAATACAAAATTGTCAAAAAAAATTTGAAAATGTCGTCAATGTCAATAATAAAAAAATTTAAATAAAATTGTTAGAAATTGTAAAAAATCAATAAATATTTATATGTCATAAAATGGAATGTATCAAATTAATTTTTCACTCGACCAAAAAAAATCTCAATCACCTTTGTTTTCTTTTTATTTCGAATTGTCTTCCTTTTCTACTACAACCAATACTTTTTAAAAACATCCCCACGTTGGGCGCCAGTTGTTGTGATTTGCTCAAACTATATGTTTATAATATTTATTTTTTAACAAATTAATATAATATCTCAGGTCTCTTTTACTTATTAAAAACAAAACGTGGCTTCAAAGTATTTTTTGCTAGTTGTCTTTGAGAAAAACAAAGGATAGACAATAGAAAAATAAAATTAAAGCACAATTTATGACTTACAAAGCAAATGTTATATTAAAAAAAAACCAATCAAATATTAAAATAAAAATTTTGAATAAACATAACTATACTATATACAATGATTAGAATAAAAATCTCAAACATCCATCAAATCATACATCTACAATTATCAATACAAATTAATTAAGCTTATATGCAAATTAATTTTAGTGACTTCCGATAAACTATCATGTATTATAATTCTCAATAAAAACCAACAACAAAAAACGAATAACCCTAATTTAAATAGGTGGTCGTGATTGAAAGCCTCTGTTTCTAAAAATGACGAAACTAACCTTTTGTTCCCACAATTGATGACTTCACCTCTCTCTCCTTTGATTGTGCCTTGTCCACCTTGCTCGTACCTTTCAGTTTCTCCAGAATACTCCTGCTAAACTCCCCTGCTCCAAATCTTTACTACATGAATAAACTCCTCCTCCCCAGACACAAAGGATATCTCAACTAATCAAATAGGTTCAGTATAAAATTATACATATGTTTATTACTTACAGCATGTCAGTTATTTCTTCTGTCTGCTACCACAGTTGGAACTTTTTCCACCAAACACAAACACAACTTTTCACAATCTAGACTTTAAAAATAAACTTGTCTAAATAGCAACGTCGTCTCCACCAAAATAAAACTATAGTATGCTCGCCCTATATTCAATTCACAATGCCTTCCTCTCTCTTGCAAAACTCTATCCAAAATCCTTCCATCTCCCTCCTCTTTTTCCATGAACCAATCAGAACGTATCTCCATCGAAACCAATTTTACTTTTTTCAAAGAAAAAGGGCTAACTTTCTCCTATCCAATAATCCGTCAGTAATCTAGTAAACATTTTTAATTTCTAGAGAAAAAAGGATAATTACCTCTCAGAAACTATTTACAAACCTACCCTATTGTATAATTCTAGTCCATACAATAAAAAGTTTAAGGTAGAACTGTTTACAAACATGTCTATTTAAAACTAAACCGTTAGAGAACCCAATATATTGTCTTCTTATTTTCTGGGAATGTCTTTAAACATATAAAATTCACTTTCCGAAAAAAAAAAAACACTTTTTGTGCTTTTTTTCTTTCAAACACTTCTGTTGGTCGGTGATTTGATTTTTGTCTTAATATTTTCTATTTGATTTTTGAAATTTATGGAACCTTATTAATACATTCATTTGATGTATTTATAGAGTAAATGACGTTATTTGTTTATAACATTCAAGAAGAATTACTATGCCATTCTAATGGAGTTTGCGGCGTAATAAAAAAATCTAATATTTTAACTTACGATCTAATATTTAGTTAAATCTAATATTTAGTTACGAATACTTCTCTTGTATTCCCTAGATGATTTTATTATTATTCCCGTAGATACCTTTAACAACAATTAAATAATGTTATAAACATAATCCCTTGTTAGCTGCTAAACATCTTGTTATTTTTTTCTTGAAATAATATTAAACAACTTAGATAAGATTTATTATTTCTTGGAGTAACATTTTCGAGTAATGAAGTCCTTTATTTCTTATTGTTATTTTTTGAATACACAAAGGAATGTTTATATTCATCCCTAATAAACACATCCACACTTAAAACCTGGTTATCTTTGAAATCTCTATACATTTCAAAAATAAAAAAGAACGTTGTGTACAATATGCCTTGAGTTGTCATGTACGTTACCTAGGGCATCGTAATTTTGAGTACGTTCTCGAAATGTTCCTCGAGAGACGAATAATGTGTTACTGTGACAGTAACCACCAACATATTTTTTTAGCGTTGTACATTTTTCATTGTTTTTAATGGATTTCTCTTTGTGTAGTTGGCTTTTATTGTCTTTCTTAATTTTAAATGCCATTTTGCTGTCGGTTCATTTAATAACAGGGAGTATAATTGACACTTGAATTACAACTCGTATTTATATTTTTTGTTAAATGATATTTTAGTAGTAATAGGTTACATAGGTAAAAGATTGTGTAGTAATAGGTTAATTTAAGTTCAATATTGGTAGGGGCCTAAAAGGCCTGTAGTGCTGTTATATATAAGTTCAATATTAATGGGCGTGAGTTTGCTTAGTAATAATTACCAACGAAATTCGTGTCTATAAAATAAATTTCTACAAGAGTGGTCTACTTAATCATCAAGCTAAGCTCATCATCCTAAAGATCATTTGTAACCTCGGAAATCTTTTTTGGGTGATGCTAGAAAGCTAACCAATGGAGACACTGCGGACGGCAGCCAGATGGTTGGTGGAGAGCGAGTCGTGGGTTCGAAACTAGCTTTTGGAACCGGGAATGGATCCAACGGAAGAAATAGGTAAAGATAGGATAAGAGATATTAGAAAAGATACAGAAATAAACAAAAAGATAGAGGGGTAAAATTACCAAAGATAAGAGAAGATAGAAACAGGGCGCTACTCAATTTTTGGGGTTAAGGAGAAAATTAAGAAAACCTTAGAAAAGAAAAGAGATAAGAAAAGATTTTTAGGTTCTGAGATCAATCCCAAGGAAAGATACCAACAGTAAATTATCAAATAAATCTGGTCAACGCAATATATAAACAAATAATAAATATATTAAGTATTACACTTACTTACCTACGAAACTTAATCAGCCTGATCTTTTCTACAGTCAAAAGCATAGTAATATTTAAAGATAGTAATTGTTCAGAGCTATTATTTTATCAGGGAACTTGTTAGGAGCCGACAAATAAAATACATGCATAAAACAATAACAATATATTAAACACAAAATTATGATGCTGCTAAATGCAACCCAGGTAATAAAAATACACAACTATGAAATGGTGTTATATATGTTTAAAATTAAGCTATAATGTAATAAAAAAATACCTTTACCAGGATATATAAGGCAATCATGTACAAATATAGTTTGGCGTATCTTGAGATATCATAGGAAAGATAATGAACAAAAATTATAGGAAATACAAAAGATAGCAAAAATTACTTAACTCTAAATTTACAAAAAAAAAAAACAAAAAGGTTACAGGAATGAAAACATAAACCAAACCGCACTTGGTTAAGTCAATTAACTATCTCGTACTATTATTTAATAAAAAACTGAGACTTGTATGTTCATAGGTAATATTTATAGAAATTTCTTGAATGGTTCAATTACATTCAAAAATCGGCAATCTACAGGTGAAGATATAGATGATACGTCCAGATAATGGCAGGTGATATGGTATCATACCATATTACTCGCCCAGATAATTGTAGATAAAGATTACTTACAGTAGATCTTGACGAAGGCAGCTTAATTCACTGAATTTAATACTTTTCTGGTACTAAACACTGAATTTAATAACCATTAAAGGTAGTGTAGAACTATATATAATTTAATATAGTCCAAGGAAAGAAAACTCAAATATGAAGTGTACACAAACTTAGAAAATAATTCACAGCGACGATAAGATAAGAAATATCGTGAGCAAAGCGCATCACGAGATATCACTTCACTCAACAAGAGCCCACCGAGAAGTAAGTTGGTTCCCTAAAAATTTCACCAACTATCCAAGAAAAAAGAAGAAGAAGGTATATCCTCCACTTAAAATCATCAGACAGTCGTATGTATTTCTCAAAAGGTAAGGCCTTAACGACTATTGGAAAGTTTGAGGTAAAATAATCGGTATTAACAATTGGACCTGAGAATATTAAAATCCTTAGGATTATATTATTGTCAAAAGATACGGGCCTTCGGCGAAAATTATCAATTTATGAAAAAGAAACTGCATACCGGAAAGCATTTGTTGTTTTACATACAGAGTATTAAGACGGAAGGATTAAAAACCTTTCTTAATTAGGGAATTCCATTTCAGCTTGGTGTCTGCAATAATATTTTCCTATCGTAAACACGGGGATTCCTAATCATCGGCGTATCGCACGGGGGTAAAAGGAATTAAAAATAATTTGATATATTCATAATAAAAAAAATGTTACACATTCAAATGTATTGTACGCCTCCACCACGATACATCCGGACGAAGACGTCGAAATATTCTGTGACCAAATATTCTATGCAATCAAGAAATCCTGGTCACTTAATAAGTGGAGATTTTAACGCAAAAGAGGCACTAAGGAATCTCTCAAACAATAATGGGAAATTCAAAAGACAGTTTGATTTCACGTATTGTGCTTCTACAATTCTCTTATACGTTCTTCTTCTTCTTCAGCCTTAAGTAATCCAACTTTGGACATAGGCCTTCCCTAAAACATTCCAGTGTTTTCTATTTTGCGCCACTTGCTTCCAGTTGTTTTCTCCGATCTTCTTAATGTCGTCAGCCTATCTCATTTGTGGTCTTCCTCTGCTTCTCTTTCCCAATCACGGTCTCCATTGTTGTATTTCGTGGTTCCATCTTTTATCTGTTAGTCGGGCATTGTGACCTGCGAAGCTTTATTTTAATTTGGCAGCATGTTCTCCTGCGTCTTTTACTTTGGTTTTGCCTTTAATCCATTTGTTTGTTTTTTGTCTATAAGTCTCACTCCGAGCATTGATCTTTCCATTGCTCTTTGTGCTTTTACTATTTTATCCTTATTAGATATGGTGACAATCTTATATATGGTATCAATTTTAACCTGGAGACCATACCAACACAAAAGACCCAGAGGCAGACCTCCTATGAGATGGATAGATGATCTGAAAAGGACTGCCGGGAAAAACTGGCTACAAGTAGAGTACAATAAAAAACAATGGAAAGGAAGACTTGAAGAGGCTTATGTTCAGATGTGGACGTGAATGGCTAGACGAAGAAGAAGAAGAAGATATGGTGAGTGTCCACGTTTGTGAACTATACGTGAGTATATGGAGGATATGCTGATCGAAAATGCTGGTTTTCAAATATTGTTCTATTTTAGTGCTCTTCAAGATCAAACTCAGATTTCTAAATCCTGCCCATGCTAACCTTATTCTTCTGGTAATTTCGGCAGTTTGATTTTCTTTATCCTTTTATTATCTGTCCCAGGTAGATGTATTCGCTTACTGTGTTTTAATTTACGTCGTTCAACGATATTTCTCCGATGTTCGGTGTATTTGTTATTTTTTTTTCTCCAAGTTCATCTTAAGACCTACTTTTTTTTGAAGCTTGAAATAGTTGTGTCATCATGATCTGTGATTCTACGAAACTTGTAGCCAATACTACAATGTCATCAGCGTATATCAAATGACTTAGTTTTCTTCTATTAAAGTTTATTCCTTTATCTACCCAGTTAATGTCTTTGAACACGTCTTCTAGTCTAAGTATGAATAACTGTGGTAAGATAACATCTCCCTGGCAAACTCCTCTGTTGATTGGTATAGCTTTGGTTTTCGCATCTATTTGTATTTTCATTGTAGCTTTCTTGTAAATATTATGTATGAGCATTCTGTATCGGGAGTCTATGCCGCAGTTGTTCATAGCTCTCTCTATTGCCCAAAGTTCTCTCTATTGCTCTTTCTATTGCCCATTATGGAGTCTAATTCCTTTTGATAATCAACGAAGCCAATGTATAAGTTTAAGTGGTATTCATTGGCTTTCTCTATTAGCGTTCTGACTGTAAAAAGATGATCCGCTGTACTGTAACTCTTTCGGAATCCTGCCTGCTCTACCGGTTGATAGCTATCGAGCTTCGACGTTAGTTATTACTCTCGCTTATACGTATTTCTTATTTTTTAGAACTTATCAGGGCACCTCACTAAGAAGCAATAAACGTGAAATTAAATATTTTCTACTAAAGGAAGTAATAACGAAATAATTTCCTAAAGACGCATACAGCGACTTCTAAAAATAAAGCAAAAAGTGAAAATCCAAAGTTTTCTACTACCTGTTCGAAACTGAAATTCAGATTCTCACTTCTCACTCATTCATTTATCACGTCCACTGCTGGACATAGGCCTCCCTTATACTTCATAACTCTTTGCAATTTTGTGCTCAAGATCTGTGCCAGATCTGTGCTTTCTACAATTTTTAAGGCAAACAGACAATGAATAAAGGGGCATGGGGAATATAAAATTGAATTTTACGTCATATCGATCCATCTAAGTAAGAACCTTTCGTGAACTGACTTCTAGTACTCAAAATACGAGTAAATAAAAATATAGAAAAGGCAGTCAAGATTTGATTTTACGAATAGTGCTTCTACTATTCGCTTATAGGTATTTCGTCCTTAGGACTCATCATAAAGCATAATGTCGCTTTATTAATTAATAAATGAAATGAGGTTGAATGCTCGAATAAATGAACTTTGAAATATGGCTATTATCGAGCACAAGTTAATTAAAACTAGCCCAAGTACTTTCGCTTAAAATAGCATCTTCAGGGGCATTTCGTCAAAATGCCCCTCCATAAGAGAGGGATAAATATTCCTCCAGATACTGACAGAGAATGTAGCGTAGAATCTTTAAGTAATTTTAAACTGTTTGTCCTCGTTTTAGTGTGGTGTTTTGTACAATTTTATGTTATTTTTAATGTTTCCACATTCTATGCTTGCCGGATAGTTTACATTTTGACGAAATGCCCCTGAAGATGCTATTTTAAGCGAAAGTACTTGGGCTAGATTTAATTAACTTGTGCTCGATAATAGCCTTATTTCAAAGTTGCTTTATTAATTGTCTGTTTGTTTTGAAAATCGTAGAAAGCATAGATTGGGTTGAGAATCTAAATTTTGGTTTCGAACATTTAGTAGAATTATTGGAATATTTACTCTTTGCTTTAAAAATGGGAAATATAAGGAACGAAATAAACGTTTCGTGAACAAATGAAAATTTGTTCACATATAAATATAACAAACTAGTTTAGTACAAGTAGTGACTCTAAGTTAGTGAGAATTTAAGTAATTAGGTATTATTGACTGACACGGTATTT